AATTCATATGATAAAATATGTAAAATATTCAGGGTACATTACTCTGCCTGGTAGCTTTACAAAGTCAAAAGAAACAGTGTTTGGGAAAAGGGGCGAGAAGTGCTACCGCTAAATTGATTGATCTACATATATGACTACTTTGGAACAGGCACGTAGGAAAATCTTGCTCTCACTCTCAGTAGACGATATGTTCCTTGTTTATTCCATTACCGGTACAAAGACATTTGATTTCTTTACATTACTACACAGCTAAATGCAGGCGCTCAATATGTTGCGGAAGGAAAGGCGGAGTCCACTACATTGGTGAATTAGTGGCTTTTTTTTTTTTTCCTTTTTTTTTTGTTTTTTTTTGTTTGGTTTTTTAAATTTTGTTGGGAAGAGCACCCGTCTGAACTCCAGTCCCCACCGGATTTTTTATTTTTTTTTTTTTTTTTTTTTCCTTTTTTTTTTGTTTTTGTTTGTTTGGTTTTTTAAATTTTCGTTGTCGAAAACAGTGTTCAATAAAAATGCAAAGAATTTAAAAAAAATAATTCAATGATAACTCATATTGTGAAAATGAGTGTACGCTCTAATGAAGTGGTTCTTAACCTGGGTTCGATCGAACCCCAGGGGTTCGGTGAGTCAGTCTCAGGGGTTCGACGGAGGTCCAAAAAAAAATTCAGAAAAAAAAATCATATTTTATTTTTCCTACTAAGAACTTCTTAGTAAGAAGGGTTCGTTGAATGCGCATATGAAACTGGTGGGGTTCAGTCTCTCCAACAAGGTTGAGAGCCACTGCTCTAGTGTGAGAGAAGGTCGGGTTTATGTACATGTTAACAAAGTGCCGGGGCTATGAAATGTGTTCAGAGGCCACCTAAGAAGCGACAAGTTGTTGTAAGGGGCACTGTAATTACTGCAGAGTTTTAACTGATCTTTTGAATTTATTTATTAGCGGAGGAAAATTGTTTTTTTTTAAATTATTTTTAATGCTTAAAAATCTGACCGACATACAATTAGAATATTATATTTTGAAATGTGTTATCTACACGAATAAAATTAAAAAGGGAAGCAGCTTGAACTATATAATGCATTCTTAATTATAACAAAGTTTGTTCCCTGTATGAAACTCTGCATTTTCCACTAATTAACTTTTAATTTTAAAAAATAGTATTAACTGGCATCTTTCCGTCTTCCTTAAGGCGATGGAAAAGCTTTTTTAAACGTTATCAAAATTCCTTTTGTTTTAATAAATATTTTTTTAAAGATATATATTGTCAATTAAAATTAATGTTTTTCTTTGAATGATTAGACACGTTTTTATTTCACATCTTTTCAGAAATAAAAGAAACCAAACAGGAGAAATCAGTCAATCGGAGTGAAGGTTTCTTAATTTTTCTTTTTTTCTACTAAATATTCTTTGTTTTAATTTTTCTAAGTATTAAGAATTGTTTACATCAAACATTTATTTAAGCAAATGAGTGTACAGAGGAGGAGGTGATTATGTTTGAAAAAACTTAACTTATAAGAAAAGTCAGATTTTAAGACAATATATATTTTTTTTTCTTAAAATGTAATATATTTTCTGTTTACTGTTTACATTGAAACGAAAAAGAATTAAACTAATAGACAAGTGCAAAATTTGTCTAATAATATAGCCTAATGATAATTCCCTTATTTAAAACAAACAAGTTTAAAGTTGTTGTTTTTTTTTTTAATTACTACAGGCGTGTTTGGTGGGGGTTGCCTATAAGTGCTCCCACCGACGCCATTTCCCAATGTAACGTATTTAGATAGACAGTTGTATAGGTGCATAACTGGGTCGAATTTTGTAAAATATGTTCTTTCTTCATTTAGATGGCGAACTTTCGGGAGCAGCCTCAGCCCAGACTGGTATATTGCATTTTGTGATGAGCTAAATTATGTTTCTGAAAACTGTGATCAATTTATCTCTAAAATCATTGTATAGGCTAATATTTAAACGTCATTTATTATTACATCAGTTTGAGTGGTTATGGTTCTCTCCTTTAGTAATACACCTCTATTCGGGATATTCATTGATAAATTATAGTTGAGTGTTACTATTCATATTTCTAATTGAAGTGATAGGAACTGCCATTACGATTTCATATATTTCACCTACACTTTTAACTTTATCCAAAAAAGAAAAAAACATTCTTAAGAAACTATTTTAATGTCATTTTATTTTTTTTCTATCAGACTCAAAAAGCGGTGGAAGCGGTAAGAATTGTCATCGTTAGATTCGATGCTGCTAATGATTTATGTAATGTTATATAAAAATAGGCCTAATAGAGTAAATGGGCATCTTGCGTTACAAAGGTTTCCCTGACGCCATTAAAAATGACTATACATTGGTATAAACCTAATGCATGTGTAAGACGAATTATTTAAAGCAACAAAAGCAAAATTAAACACAAAGTCTCAGAAAATGACTTGTAAGACTGAAAAAGTTTTGTAAAGTGTAATAAAAATGTGATTTAAATTATTAAGATCTAAGATAGCATCTTATTTTATTTTTTATAATAGAAAGCAAATATTTTCATTTTAACAAAATGTTCTTAATCATTTAATTTAATAATAATTTTAAGCATTTATAGCATGTAAACTTTCGTTGTAATTGACTCTCTTTTAGATACAGGGAGCTAGTGAGTAGTGAGGCACGACTTCTTCGAAGGTTTGAACAATTCTGTCAACATAGCTGCACCATCAAAAACGAATCATACTTAAACCTAGAGAACTTATGTTGAAACATTGACTGGAAATCATCTCCGTTATAAGCATCACGCATTTTAGTTTTATTGCATATGATATTTTTTTTATAAATACGAAGTGGTTATTCAGACCCGGGTCCCAGAAGTGAGAGGTAGCGATTAAAAAAATATTGTTGGGTTGTAAGACCTAAACTTGGTATCAAATGAAATATAGACTAATTGAATAGACTGTACGTTTGTGAACTTACTTCTTATATTTAACTAAAATACAATACCACAAATGACATCTGAATGGCATTGAGTCTAATGGGACCCAAGTCCGAATAGCGGCTATGCGTGTCCGGGTCCTTTTAGACTAAATGCTAGATAGAAATAACAAAGTTCCTTTTTAAAAATAGAAATTATCAACAACAAAAAAAAAAGAAATTGCATATGTTTTTTTTAAAATGATATTGGCTTCATTCTAATTTAAAACATTTTTTTAATTTTGGAAATCTAATCAGTTTCGAGTTATTAATTTAGCATCTTGAATTTGTTCATATTTATCTTTGAATTTGCAGTAATTAAGGACAATCTGTCAAAACTTATTAGGAATTGAAAACTTTTAAACATTCTTATACATTTATTCAACAAAAATTACAAGTCTTTAGTACAAACAACACATGTATGGGTACATGAATTTGCAACACTTATTTACTTTTAAGGAATATTTATCCCTAGTACTTTTATTAATACATCATTATCATAAAATTACCTTTAATATATATACATTTTTTAAAAACATTTAAAAAATTAATTTTGAATATAACTAGTTTCAATACTTACATTTATATATTTATTTCAACGAATGAATGTACAATGGCACATACATAAGCTGTAATTTTTTTTCAAATATAATTTTGTACCATTTTCTGTTTCTTCACAATCTTTCTGTTGTTTGACTTAGCCGCTTCTCTACTGGATCAATTCTTTATTAATAACTTCTGATTAAAAAGTACACAGGTTTTTAACAATTAAAACAAGTGGGTCACATTCAAATGATATTGAAATTTACAAAACCAAATCTAAGAAATGTAACAAAAATAAATAAATTCATCAAAATGACACTCAGTTGTTGATCAATCTATTTTAAACTGACACATTTTTTTTTTTAAGGCAGCAGATTTGAAAATGCATTAGCTAAAAATATTTTGCCAGTTTTAAATGAAGTACTCAATTCCGTTATAAAATGTATCAATGTTATCATAGCTTATGTTATATGTGAGTGTTTCTACAAGCTATTTTGGGAAGAACAAAATGCAGACTATGTGGACTTTTACTTCACACTGAAGTAAGGTGGCTCTCGAAAGGAAACTGCTTGGAAATATTTTTGGAACTAGCTTAAACTTTATATTTAGGCCTGTATAATATTAAAAAATATGGTTGTATGGGCTAAATTAAATGTGGCTCTACAGCTATTTTTTTTTTAAAACTTTTTATTTGTTTTTGTCCATTTTTACTGGGGGAGTCACTATTGGGGATTAGCCATACCATGTGACACCTACAGAAGGCCTCCTTAATACAACTAATCTACTGATATAACTCTGGTCCTTACAAAACAGTGTCTACAATAGTAGGCTTGTAATGCCGGTGGGTTGACATGCAATCTGACGAGGGGACCAAACCAGTTAATTTGATGGTGTGCCATATACTGCCTGGTTGGGAGGGCATCAAATACTTTTATTTCCTTGTTTCTAATGTGGACTCTTAATTTTACAAGTCGATCAATTCCGAATGTCATCTTGCATGCTAATTAAATACTGTATTCAAATGACACATTTTACTAATAAAAAATTCTATAAAAAAATAATACACAAGCTGCTGAAGGAAATAAAAAGAAAAAAAATGTGTTGTATTGTCATAACACAATATTAAATGTATTTCACAAATTCATTTGTAAATTTATCCACTAAATTACGCAACATATTTTTTACAAATTAAAATATTTTCATTATTTTACAAAAAATGTTTACATTTTAAATGAAAAAATATGAAGGAATATTTCTAAATTTGGTATTTAAATAATATTATATTGTACAAAATTTCATTGCACTTGAATTATATTAAATATTCATGTGCTCCAATCTTTACCTAATATCTTTTATTTCAATACAACTTTTATATTTACCACAAAAATCATTATTTGTAACTTTCACTAACAAAACAATTGTAAAGTATTTCTTTAAGTTTAATAGTGGTCCATAAGCGTTAACTTGAATATTACCAACTCATAGACTCATTTTTTTTCATTGTTTATAAGTTATAAGAAGTCATCATCTCATTTCCTGAACCATTAATATCTGAAAGTAAAATTAAATATGCAATTATCATTTACTTCTTAAACAGGTATTTTTTAATAATTGCAGTTTTTATATTCTAAAAGTAAACTGCATGTTAAGTGGAGGAGTATTGTCTAAATCACCAAAAATGTTAGACAAAATGAAGATAAAAAAAATGATATAAAATACTAAAGCACTAAATATAATAGTGAGAAATCAAAAACACTTACTAAAAAGTCTTTATTCTACCGCACATTATTGCATCAAAAGATCTTTTAAAATGTGTGATATTTTCATAATGGAATATTGGAATCAATATGTGAAATGGTATTTTTTAAAATTAAGATTAACCATTGATAATATAAGATATTAAAGATGTTGCCTCTTTTCAAAGTTGCTTTTTAAAAAAAAAATAAGTGAAACTACTCCTTTATTTAAAAAAAATATACTTTGAAAAATGATAAAGCCCTACCTGCAGAGCCTTGATGACCTCTGTACTTGGTATCACTGGATGTGTTCTGCATTGAACCACTTACCAACAATTTAGGCCTTGTTATTCTTGAATTTGAACTTTGATAAGCAAGCACACCTGTCATAAAAATCAATTTTTATTCGCTATTATGTCCTCTACTTCAAGAAATAAATATTACAGTTGAACCCCATTATTCAGCCGGCCTAGGCATTTGCCAAAAAGCGTCGAGATAACCGATGATCGAGGTAAACGAAAAGCAATATGGCGGCAATACGTTAACATGTGCTTGAAATTTCTTTATATATTATAATTATATGATGTGCATTAGTAAAGGAGACTGTACATTTTTGGAGTTTTTTCTTTTCTTTTACACAACAGTGTTGCCGCAGTTAGTTTGATAAAGCGATCGGCAGTAGTTGATAAAAACAGAATTCCCACACAACAAAATAATTATTTTATTCAAAGGTCAGTGCTTGATCATGGGAATCACAAAATAGTTCGGGAAAATACCAAATTTTGCTTGAAATTATTGGCGATTGACAGGTTCTGTTGTTTTCTTAATTTTCGCGATTTCAAATAAGACCCATTATAGGGATTCTTTTGCTTCTGTATGTAAAGAACTAGTAATTATTTTTAATTATGCAAAACTTGTTTATTTTTAGTTTGCTATTTCTTCTTGCGGAGTTCAAAAGCCGGCAATTGGTCGTGGTGATCAAGTTAAATGGCAAATTTTACCCCCTTTTGTGCTCGAGATATTAGGGTTTGGCAACATATAAGAATCAACAAAACCAATGAGAAAATGCTAGACAAAGAGAGAGAATTTGGCAGATTCAAATCAAAACGTTGACTTAATGGGGTTGGCGAGTTAACCAGGGTCAAGATAAGTGGGGTCAAGATAAGTGGGTTTGACTCTATTGATATTATAATTATCTACAATTTCTTTTATAGTTTCTACTATATTTACTTACATATATGAGACATTATATAATTGTATGTGTGAAAATTACTATTTGTATTTTTGGAGGAGCGTACTTGTATTGTAATTTGATTTATTTTTGGCTTGCTTTTTAAATTTTGAATTTGTATTTTTATAAATATTTAAAATTCTAATTACATTGATATTGTTAGTATCACTAGTATTTGTATCATTTTCTTTGCATACTATTTTTCTCACGCTTTTGTTATGCATCATTCATTCTAAAAGCCAAATCTTAAACAGATTAAATCTTCAAAACCATAATGAAACATGACACTGCTTCTTAAGGAATAATATTTGCTTACTGTTTCGCCAGGAAGAACCGTCAGTATTATCCTCTGTCCCCTGACTTTGGTCATCACCACCACCATGAGTGCTAAGTTGTTTGGACAAAGTGCTCCTGCAATATAAAAAAATCAATGAAAAACATTTTTTGGATGACACTTAGTTTTCAGCTGATTAGCAAAAACTATAAGAAATTTTTTTTAAAAATATGAAGCGATTTAAAATGGAAGTGAATCCAAATAAATTTATATAAAAGATAAGTGGTTGAAAGACTATGAACATGTAGGAATATTTAACTTTCAGCCAAAGATCATTTTATTTACTCACTTTCTGTCAGTTTGAGATTTAAATAGATCCAGTGGTTCATTGTTTTCCACCCTATTTTTTGCTTTATTTTGCTTTACCCAACAGCAAAAAATAATCCAAATGCTCACAAAGAGGATTGTAAACAAAGATAAACCGACACTCAAACCAATGATGAGATTCTGCGAATCTGTAAAAAAACATTATCATACTTAACCTTTCAATGATGCGTAATTCAAAGACATATAAACTTATTGCATAATTATAAAGATAAAATATTGTCCTAGTTGTAACTGGTAATTTAATGCTGTTGTTTTACGTCATCAAATTGAATTAATATTTTAGACTTTCAATGCACAATGTTAAAACACAACAAATATGTAAATAAGATCAACCTTTTTGATTAAAAAAGTACTAAATAATACACATACATATTAATACACCTGTTAAACTTCTATGACCATGGCAAGTTCTTAAATACAGTTACTTTTTAACATTGACAAAGAGTCTGCACTACTCAAAAGAAAATAAAGGAAAAAAATTAAAATCCTAACCTTTTTCAATTTTGTGTCTGAAATTAAATGAACAAAAAAAAAGACAAAATCTTTCAAATAACACTAATAAAATGTAAAATAAAATATGCATTTAAGTGAAATCACACAGATAATATAATAGATAGTGTTTCCCATAGGGAAAGTGGTTTTAAACAGATAGGCACAGGCCTACAAGCCTTATGATGCACAGCATGCTACAATAAAATAAATAAAAATTAAATAAAGTTAAGGAGAAATAACCAACATTTTTAAAAATATTTTGTAATGTTAATAGTTAATAGAGTCCTCAATCATTGGCTAAAAGTATTTAATGAAATACTTAGGATAAAAGAAAAATTAAATTATATCTAAATAATTAATAGATTTAGCAGCAGACCTGGTTCAATGGGAAACTTGTTCACCGGTCCGCCAAAATTAAAAGTCTGAAAAGCATTGTAACAGACAGAAAAAGCAACTCACTTGCAAACAGCTTCTTTTCCAACCTCTTCACAAACATCGAAAGCTGAGCATGGTTCTATTTTAGACTGGATGTCACAGGCCCCATCACTTTTTGATACTGAAATAACATTTCAAACATTAGAAGAATGGCTAAGTAAACACATTCATGGTGCTAGACAGTTTGCTCCAAAAATGACCAGGAGGAATGTTTCAAAGCATTTCAAAATCAGGATCTTGCTTCTTAGAAAAACTGAAGTAATGCGATTACAATAAATAGTATTGCTATTTTATAATAATACTGATCATATATTTAGTTTTTGTTGTGTTTTTCAATCTTTGGACATTTTGTCAATTGAAATCGACCGTGATCACCTAAATCATCATATTTTGCTAATTATGAACTTGAGTGTGGGTGCCCAGATGGCTCATGAGACCGAGACCGATTCTGATAGAATCGGGACATTCAATAAGCTAACACTGTCTATACTTATTTTTCTTTCTTTCTATGACAGTTATTTCCTATCTAAAATTGATGAACATTCACTAATATAAAGAAATAAAAGCTATATTTAAAACAATGTAAAATAGTTTTGCAAGTGAGACATGTTCCCCTAAAAGAAATTTAAAGTTTTAAAAAATATATGCACGAAAAATGAAATAGAAAACCTATTTGGACTGTTCAAGATAAGAATGGATGTTATGAAACTATCATCAAAGAGTTAAATGAAGTGTATTTAGATTCATTAAAGAAATTGAAAACTTTATTGGGCTGGACAAGTTGAGGGGAATCCTGACCAAAGAGAATAAAAGGTGGTGTACAGCCATAAGACAAGGGGCAGATCAGCCATTAGTCAATGACATCTAAGATGGATTGAGAATGTTGAGACAAATTTGCAGAAGATGACTGTCCATATATGAAGGCAGATGGTAGCTAATGGCTTTGATCACTTCTGTTGATTGAATTATTAATTTAAATTTCATTTGTTTTTTCCTTTACAATAATGTATTTTTCAAATCTATTTCTTTTTAAAGAATCTTCTGTCACATTTTAAATTCAGCTCTTACATTCCCCTCCATTAAGTGTAAGAGCGGACATCCCCACAGGTGTGCTGTCAATCCTGATGGCATTTCCGTTTTGCATCATTTCAACCAGAGCTTTGCCTAAAACCACTTCACTTGCTTTCTCTGTGCTGTTTTTGGTTCCCATGGTAATTTCAGTTTCAACAATGAGGCTTCCTTTGCTGTTGATATATATTATACATTGTTATAAAAAAACGATTGAAGAAAAGTCTTAAAGCTGTATCAGCAATTAATTTAAAGGGTTTTCTATTAGAAAATGTTAATTGTAATTATATTGATATAAATGGATATTTTTTTGCAGATAGTAGCGTAAAAAATATATTGTTATAGATCAGGGGTCCTCAAATTTTTTTGCCATCCCCCCCTTGGGACCACAGAAGCAACGCCCACCATACTGTTTTATCCCATTATAAGCATGCCCAGAATAAAAATTTTCATGAATAATTGATGGTAAATTAGTAAACAATTGAATTTTTAAGTGTACATTTATCTACAGATTAAATCAAAATTAAAATTAAACTTTTTTAATTTCTCTTTAATTCCTTTTAACTCTAATTATTTTGATCAAGAGATACATCAGCATTTTAAAGTATGATAATTATTGATCAAGGTTTTTAGAAAATAATGCTTTCACTGTTGTTCAATTATTTGTAATATACTGCATGCATTGGTTTAGTAAAGGAACGTTGATTTTCTTCCATGGTTTAAGTTTTGCGCCGTCACTTCTCAGAGTTTATGCTATTTATTCGTCTGGATCTAAGCTGGTTGGCCACAATAAAACTACCTTCCATCAGATACAATTGTGAGAATGCAACAAAAACAAAAACTGTCAAAATGAAGCAGCTGATTGTGGATCGCTCTTAACACAGTGCTGCAGATAATAGTCACTGAATGAGTGTGCTTAAATTTAAATAAATAGAGCAATATTTAATAAATAAATAGAGCAATGGTTTCTTAGCAGCCAGAGGTTGGTGATGAATGGTATGAAGAATAATAAAAAAAAATGTGACTATAAGTTCCATAAGCAACAAACAACATTTGCAGCCAGTCATGCTCCATCAGTTGCAATATTAAGCTTATGATATTTATTGTAATTTTCTTGTCATTGCTCTAAAAAGTGCCATCAAATACTGCCTCTTGCCTTTCTTACATTTATATTTTCCATTGTAATTGTAATAATCCAAACTTTAATTTTTACAAAATGCAAATTAGCAGATAAAAAGGCAATAAGATTCATTGCCTTGAACGTTAATACATCCGTTTTGTGTGCAAAACCTTGCTGCAATATTTCAATTTGCTTTAGCATGACTGCAGTCCTCCCCATTCAATTCTTTTTGGTTTGCCGCAGAGCAGCAAAATTGATCTACAGGCAGAAACTGACGAGAAGATGGCTAACTGGTCAACCAAGACTGAGATGGATCGAAGATGTTGAGAAGGACTTATACCAGTCCCCCAACACATGAAGGCTGAAAGCCATGGCTCGGTCCAAATGGAATGATGTGGTGGAGCAGGCCAAGGCCCTCCATGGGCTGCACTGCCACTGATGATGAAGATTGGTTTGCCGTACATCTAATTTCCTATATTCCCAGCCTTGTGTCTACTAAATAGGAAAATCATTAAGATGTTGTTCACGAGTTTCCCGATTTTGCAATGAAAATGCTACAATGTTATATCATAAAATGCATGCAAGCTACTGCATAACGTATTGGGAAGAAAGTTTTTGGCTCATATTTCAATTTGATTTAATACTTTCACATTATTTCAGCTCATGACTCCTAGTTAAGTATAATTATGAAGGTGTTTATCATAGCTGCTCTCAACTTAAATCAAAAGTCGTTCCTCGCAGTGTTGTGTGTAAAGCTATGATTATGTCTCTCCTTGGAATTTATAGACTCATTCAGTCAAAAGAATAGTTATTATTCTGTTATATTTAAAATTTTTAAGTAAAGATATAGATAGCTCCCTAATTTAGTTTAAAAGCCAACTATGATCTGCAAAGGTTTCAGCGCATCCCTCCAATGGCTTCCCCACCATCCCCCGAGTGTGGTACCACCCACTTTGAGAAACCGATGATACAGAATATATGCAATGGATATTTTATTTATACAGACTGAAATAAAGGAATAAATTTTAAAAGGATATCACAAAAATAATATGAATATAATTGTAATCAAGTTAAGAAATAAGCAAAGAAAGTTACCTTAATTTTGTTACTGTCAATGAAATGACTGACGGTTCAACCTTTTTTAGAGACTCTAGCAACTGAAACCATAAGATGTGATTTATTAAGTAAAAAATAAATGAGCCAATGGGCCTAATTAAACGTAAGGAAACACATTTAATTCTTAAATGTTATCAGAAAGCACAGAACGTACCCCATTTTGTACATTTTCTGCTAATCTTTGGTAATTCTCTGAGCTCTGGTCAGCCAAATTAATATTTGAAATGTTATAATCCAAGGTTATTATAGCTGCCACTTTATGGGTCGATAGAAGCGCTGGAAAATATGAGAAAGTAATTCTAAAAATTTATTAAGAAATTTTTTTTTTAAATGAGTATTTGACAACATTACATGCCTGCATGTTTCAAGCAGTTCATGAAAGTTATGAAGACTTGGTCCAACCGTGTTGTAAGATGTTACCTTTACATTGTCCGTTGGTGTCATCATAGAATCCAATGTCACACAAGCATGTGAACGAGCCTGCTGTATTAACACAATGAGAATTCTGTCGACATGAAACCGATTGCTCCGTGCATTCATTCACATCTGATTCACACCTGTCTCCCTTCCAGCCACTAAGGCAGAGACAATGTCCATTTATTGTGTCACAAGCTTTGGTGTTGGCCATGACACAAGTACAGCTCTGGCTGCAGTTTAATTCATATGTGTTGGCAGTACACTCTAAAAACAAATAAGAAATAATATAATTGTTCTGTTAAATTGTATGATATGTCAAGGCTTTACATGTGCAGTTCAACTTAACTGAGACCAAATGTGAGTCTCACTGTGATAAGTTTAAGGAAATATGCAGTTGTCCTTCACACATTTTTTCCTGCTCAAAGACATCATTATCGTGTAAAAAGTTGATGAGATGTCGGTACATATGAAGGATTTGTGTAATTAATTTATAATAGATGGGTTCCTTATATGTGTAGTGTGAAAAAACACACTTCAGACCATGGGAAATGTCTTGATACGGAGATGAATGTTTATGTTTTTCCTTCTACGAGTTTTGTAAATAAAGGAAAAGTAGCACAAAAAAGAATGTCTTTCCTGTGAGCGGTGCGTGAGATGGCTTTGCTCATTGAATGAGAGCATTGTGTTGTTAACTTATGTTACCAACGTGACGTTCCTTGACAGTATAAATATTGCAGAGGCATCACCTCTGCTACTAATCAATATTATTAATCATCAGTTTACAAAGACGAAAAGTAAAGGTTTTAGAAAAAAAGTGTCAATAGACCTAAGTCCCTTTTTTGTCACTAATTACTGACAGATCAGAACAAAACAATTAATAATGAAGCTTAAAGGATTACGTGAATTGGAGGAAATAAAACCGACCCTGACAATTTCGACCATTATTATCCAGCTTGTAACCAGCAGGACAAGAACAAGTGTAGCCACCATCTGTGTTATTACATCCAGGTTTGTAGGAACAGCTGTTATTCTCCGCAGATGCACACTCGTTGATATCTGTTAAAGGATGAGCTTCTTTACAACTGATTTGAAGAGCATGTAATTTTAGCTTTGTAAGGATTTTATTTCGCATCATATATCTATTCTAATATAATTTGTAGCTTTTATTTGGAAATGTATGTATTTATTTATTTTTTTAAATACAACCTAAAATTAATAGTAAATTCTGTATGATAAACATTATGATATCTCCTAATACACTTAAAACAAATAAGAAACGCAAACATTTAGACATAATGAATATATTTTAAGTCAATTTTACCCTTGCATTCGCAGGAATCACACAATTTTGTGTAACCAGCATTACAAACACACTTGTAACCTCCCTCCGTGTTACTACAAACTTCAAGTAATGATGAACTACAATTATGGATATTTTCACGGCATTCATCAATGTCAATGTCACAGTTGTTTCCCTTCCAACCCAGTTTACAATAACAGGCTCCATCAGTTTTGTTACATTTGGAATGTGCACCACAGGAACAATGAGAAGAACAGTTTGTTCCATAAAAGTCATCATCACAATCTGTGGATTGCACATCATACCATGTCAAGTTATCAGTACTTTTGAATTTAGAGGATTGTGGCAACTACTTCAGTCAGTGTCGAGAATATTATTAACATATATAATATATATCCCAGTCTTAGTGACGAGAGCTAATTTGCATTAAAAAAAATAAAAAAACACATAATATTTTTTTGTTTTTCAAAAGAAACCTTAAATTTTCTTAATCTTTTACTATTATTGTTTGGTAAATTGTATAACAGTCTATTTATTTCTGTTATATATTTTATTTTTTAATTATTTAAACATGTATCTTTATTTATTATGTTAATCATTTTTATTACACTTCATTTTACAGTTTTTAATTACTATAGAAAGGACATCATTAAAATGAAATAACAGTATATATATATATTTATGTATATATATTTATATGTATATATAAGTTTATTTACAGTTACATTTTTCAGTTTTTAATTACTATAGAAAGGACATCATTAAAATGAAATAACAATATATGTATATATATATATATTTATGTAAATATATTTATATATATATAAATTTATTTTTATATATATATATATATATATATTTACAATTGAATTGAACTACCTTTACAAATGCTTTCCCTCAGAATGAAACCATCATTGCAAACACAAGTGAAAGATCCTAGTGTATTTATACACCTAGAATGAATTTGGCATGATGCAGAGCCATTTCCGCACTCATCTTCATCGAACGTACAATTGTTTCCCTTCCAGCCTGATTGACATTCACACGTTCCATCAACAACATTACAAGATTTGGTGTTGGCCGTTTCACATGAGCAAATTTTGCTGCAGTTTAATCCATACTTCCCATTAACACATTCTGAAAGTGTGTTTTTTTTAAACAATTACATGGCTCATAAATTCTTGTTTTAACATATTAACTTTATATTTGAAGCTATACAAATTTATAGTAATTAATTTTTAATAAGTACCCAGTGTTTTCTTGTACTTAGACCAGATGCAATAAATATACATATTTTTAGTGCTAAAAACATGGATCTTTAAATTTAATATTGCATTATTCTGTCTTTTTTTAAGACATCTGAGCACTAAAGATGCCATTTAACATCAAAATATGTTCTCAAATAGTTTCTTAAAGCAATAGCTTTCAATATAATCTCATGGTAAAGAATAATTTCATGCATTTATCCAGGACCTATTGATTACAGCCTAAGTTTTTAAAATAAGCTCTACTGGGAATATGAGAGCCCATGGCAGATGTATTTATATGTGAATCCCATGGGAGATTTATTTACAAGAGAAGCACATGGCAGTTTATTTTTATGAGAAACCCATGGGAGATTTATTTAGATCTAATGTAATCAGGACCAAAATTCATCCTTTTATTTAATTACCAGAAACTGCTCTAAAGCAGTAAGCCTTTGAACTCTATAAATTTAACAGCCTCCACATTCCACAAGATATGAAAATGACTGATGCATATTTGTTATTTATTTTCTTTTTTTAAATTACCTGAACAAGTGGTTCCATCTGCAGCTAAGTATTTACCAGTGTTACATAAACACTCAAAACTTGTGTTTCCTTTAGTTTCAACACATCCTTCAGTACAGGAAGTATTTTTACACAAATCTAAATCTTGAGAAAAACATCATTTAAATGTTGTTGTTTTTTTGTTTCTTTTAAATATGTGCTCGCTCAAGTTTTATTATAGTAAGTGGATACAATTTAAAATTTGAAAATATGGTGGTGGTTTAAAAATTATTAGAGTATAAATGATAAATGTCAATTATATTACCATCACATGAAGTTTTGTCCGTTGCTAGAACTTTGCCTTTCCCACATAAACATGTTTCAATCCCATTAATGTTAGCACACTTCTCACTGCATGATGTTGTATTAATGCAAGGTACGTCAACTGAAAAATAGATCATTTCAGATTGTTTTAAAACTACAAATTACTGAAATGAAATAATCTTAAAAATTGAGTTTCATGCTGAAAAAAAGCTGATAAATTTGTATCAATTATCTAAAAGTTGCTTTGTCTAATTTGAAAAAAAAAAATTGATACCACAAAATGTTTAATGTCTACATTTGTCCTTTTACCATATCATAGTTTCATACTTAATTACATGCCATTGATTCCTTTTATCTTCTTTTTTTCTTATTTAAAAGAAGATTATAAAGTTTATAGATATATTTTTTTTTTTAAAAACAGCACAAAAAAAACACCCAACTTACCTTCACAAGACACACCATCTAACTGAAGGAAAAGACCTGTTTCACATGAACAACGATAACTTCCCTCTGTGTTGTCACACTTTTCATGACACTTGTGTGTACCTTCTCTACACTCATCTATGTCTGTTTTAGTATTTAAAAAATAATTATTATTTTTTTTTTTTTTAAATTAACATTTCTATTTTTATCACCAGCATAATCTTTATTTTTATATTGGTCTCTTCTCATGAAAACTGAAATATATATCAGTGGATGGCTTGGATTAGTTTAGTTCTTCCTAATAAGTGAATCTCACCGAGACAAGTGTTTGTAGTGGAGTTGTAAATGTAACCCTCATTGCACGAACAAATATAGGAACCAACAGTATTTGTACAGATTTGAGTACAACTGTGTTCACTGGAGCACTCATTGATGTCTGTAAATAAATCAAATACTTTATACAGTCATTGACAGTTTTTACAAGTTTAGCAACTTGAAATCTCATTAGAAACATAAATCTTAAATAAGATTAAATGATATTTTAAAATATAAAACATACCAACACAATTTTGCTTTGTGTCATATTGAAAGCCAGATGGACACACACACTTGGCACCACCATATGTGTTAACACATTGTTCCTTCCCAGCACATGTCAAGTTATGTATTTCACATTCATCAATATCATCATTGCAGTACTTTCCTAATTGTAAAATAAAATGATTGAACATAATAATAACAATGGATGTTTCAAATAATAATTTGTTTAAAAAAGGATATAGGCCTTGATCCTATTTTTTTTGGTTCTACAATTTGGGAGAGGTTTGTAGTGATTAACTAAAATTTCAAATAAAATGATTGGCTCTCTTTTAGTCGAAAGTTTATGTGGTTGCATTGGCTAAAGAATCTTTAAGTAAAATAAAGAGAAGCATTTACGTATATATTGAATCTTTTTTATTTCACTTAGACATAAAAATTAAATGCATTAGTTGCAAGCTATTATAGAAGTTATCTTTCTATTATAGCAACAGTTACAATGCATGTGAAATGCCATTTAAAACACCTTGAAATCCAGTCAAACAGACACAACCAGTTGTAGGGTCACATCTCTCAGCTCCTATGCCACAAGCACAATCATGGGAACATTCCAAGCCCCAGGTGTTGCCGGGACATGCTTTGAAAATAAATGCAGTATTTGTCATTAGTATTTTAAAAATGAAATAAAAATAAATTGATTAGATGGTGAGTAAATTTGAAATATACAATTTTCCAATACAACACTTTCAATATTTATTATGAATAATTTCATTCAAAAAAACTAATGATTTGTTATCATCATTGTAAGTGTTGTACACAAATATTTTAATAAAACCTAGTAAATAGAATCATACCCAGACAGTTTCGAAGATTGTTATCCAGCTTGAAACCAGCAGGACAAGAACAAGTGTAGCCACCATCTGTGTTATTACATCCAAGTTTGTATGAACAGCTGTTATTCTCTGGTGAGGTGCACTCATTGATATCTTTTTTTTTTTAAAAATGAACATTGCTATAAAGAGTGCATCACTAATGCGATGGGTTGAATCGTTTCAAATTATACCATTTCAATACCTATGAATACTTTATGCGGTTTTGAAAGGAGCTTGGGTAAATTCTCATAATACCTTTTACTTTCATGTGAAATGTCATGGTTATATATTGGAGCCTTTAGTAAAATAGAATACAGATAACTCACAGCGATTTTAAGAAATATAACCATCAAATACATTTTCATCTCGCAAGTCTTTTGAAGATAGTGTCCAAAAGATAACCTTTTGTATGTTCATTTAGATTGCTTTTGATGCACATGTGTGTGACCATTTGAAAAGTGAATGCATTTTTCAAAAAGGAAAAAAAATTCCTTTAAACGGCATCTAAATACTACAATTATATCACAGGGAGGTAAGAGAAAAGGCTATAAATGGGAAACACATTTTTCAAAATATTTAGATTTTTGTGACAGTTTTAGAATTGGTAACTGATATGTTATAACTTATTTACGTTACTTATACAAGTTTTAATTTTTTTTAGCTCTACTCCTTTAGTTGGTACATTTTTTAAGTTAAAATAATACCTGATATCCCAAGATTCGACACAAATTGCTTGTTGATCAACCAAGACAATGGCTTAAAAATTGCATTTAATTCATTCCATTAAAATTGCGAATAACAGAATTTTAATTATTATGCAGATTTTAAGCTTTTAAAATACAATAAAATATACTTACCAATGCATGTGTCCTGACCAATGTTTCTATTTCTTGTATAACCACGAGGACAAATGCAATATGGCTTATTCGTATCATCCAAACTGCATCCATGTGTGCAGTTAAGGTGATGGCTTACACATAGGTCTCTTACTAAAAAAAAAGGTACATTTTTTTAGTACAGACAGGCTAAAAAATGGTAAATAAAAAAACCTATACTACTTTAATTAATAATCTGAACAGAATCTTTACTAACATAAATCTTCCTCCACTTTTTATCATCTTCAATAATCATAGTTAAGATATAGTTAATTTTATTTGGCAAAGTGTAAGGTCCATGTGAAATGTACATCAATACATTTTTGCTGAAATGATATGGTGTTTCCTTGCTCTTTAATGAAATACAAACTACACCAACATATAACCATAATGTTAGAAGTTTGTGCACACCATTTTAATATTTTTTAATGGCAAATATATATATAGGCCATATATATAGGCCATATATACAGTCATCAGATCAGCACTCCTAAGTAAACTTTATTTCCTGAGAAACCCCTCATTGTATAGTGTGCACTGACATATTGATAGCTTAAAAATGTTATAGCATACAGTTCTACATGGCTTCATTTTTATTTTAAAGTTTTGCTTCTACTATCCTTTGAAAGAAAAATTGCTTTTTTTTTTCTTTTACTTCTGGTGCAGCTTTTCCTATTATCCTCTAGAATGTAGCCATAATCACATTCGCAGTTGAAACGTCCTTCGACATTATGACACATATGTTGACACCCATCAATGTGAAGAGCGCATTCATCAATGTCTGTGGATTTTAGAAAAAGTAATCGTTCAACAACAAAGTGTGAATCAATTGTATGAGATGAATACCCATCTGATATAAATAAACACTAGGGCAAGCTATTGTACATGTGGAAACCAGATCCTCTTGTATTTTCCACCGTACTAAAAATAAGAATACAAAAAATACTTTTATGACATTTTAGCCAGTATTTGAATGAGTAGATTTAAAAAATGAGCTGATCTTTTGAAACTTCTCCCAAATGGTAATTTCGTTACAATTAAAAAAACAAAACGTAGGCCTATAATTTTTTATTGATTTGGAGGCTTTACAAAAAAACAAATTCTCAGAAGATATCAACAAACTCGCTACATGACAAAACTTAACAAACATGTCCCTCATTTGAAGAAAAAAATCAGTAATGTCAAGAAATCTTGGACAACTAGAGAGTGTTAAAGTTATTACGCAGAGGTAATAATATTCATTTTCTCAATAAAATTTGTGATGCACATTGGCTGATGGAACTAATTTTTAAAATAAAAATTATTTGCAATATTTTGAAGATATTAAAAAGTAAGGCCAATCTTTCTTCCCAAGAAAAACATATTTATTTAACTTTAAGCTGCTGCTTTTCAAGTAAAGCTTTGATCCCCTACCAAAAAAAAAAGAGAGATCAATTTGAACAAAGCTTGGTAGTTCTCCAAAATAGCTACCTTGACATGTAGAATTGTTATCTCGGGCATAACCTTGTTTACAATCACACCAGTAACTACCAACAGTGTTTATGCACACTTCTTTCCGAAGGTCACAGGTCACATTGATCTGAAGGTTTGAACACTCGTCCGTGTCTGGGGGATTTATGTTTAAATATTCATACAAAATAATACACAACCCTTATAGAGATACTAAATAATCAATTATAAAATGGATTTTCATTGCACATGCTTAAAGCATGTTGCCCGGGAATTATAAAGAAAACAATTGAGAAAAAAGTATATGATTAAATATAAAATATACAAATGCATGAACTACTACTACCGTTCACATACCATTGCACACTTGCCCAGCAAACACATATCCAGTTGGACATGAACACGTAAATGAGCCATAAGTATTCAGGCAAAGTTGTCCTTCAGGACAGGAACCTTGTGTGGCACATTCATCAACATCTATGTCACAGTTGACCCCTGTCCAGTTTACATCACAAACACATCCTTTAACTGTGTTGCATGATCCCCTGCCATTGCATTGGCAAGTTTTGGCACAGTCTTCCCCGTATGAAGGAATTTCACAAGCTTATGTAATGGGAGAAAAATCAACAAACCCAACAATTACATGTATGTAAAAACTTGATCATTTCAGAATAGACACTCACATAAGTATGACTAATTTCTCTTATAAATGGACTTCAAAATTAATTCATATGAGATATCTAATGTTTATATAAAAGTATTTAATTTTTTAAATCTAGTTTACTACCAGTTTGATAATGACTAGTTAAATAATAATTATGTTCCTTCTTATCTATAGAGCCCAAAAAAATGTTTAAACTTTTCAAAGAAGATAATGGAAAAAAGGCATAACTTTTGCAAAATATTTTAATGCAATAGGTTGAATAGGTAGCTTTACCTACGTATTTCTAATCATAAAAAAGTGGTATATTAGGATCATAAAATAAAAATGCAAAGATCACTTCATTTGCATTGGTAGCATAATAAAAAGTTCAACTATCTGTAAATTTATTTTAATACAATAATCTTGAATACAACAAATTAAATATATATATATATTATATATATTAAACGTGTATATTCCTTAATATAGACATATGCTTTATAGAGCATATTATGATATAAATAAAATAACTTACCCTTACACGAGACTATATCAGATTCTAGCTTAAAACCTGTGTAGCAGTAGCATTTAAAGTTCCCTTCTGTATTGTTACAACTCTGACTGCATGGCATGTTTAAAAGCTCACACTCATTTATGTCTGTGTGCAAACAAAGCAAACATCTATAATAAGTTGTATTTGTGATTGGTAATTGCAACAGAATCTGTGAATAAGCCAACAAGCAATTAACCACTGACAAAATTATTATCTGATATAAGAAAAAAATGCCTCGTAGTTATCTGCCGATGACGGAAGTAAAAGACCAATTTTCAAAGACGGCCTGGATATTAAAGATGGTTGTTAGCTGATAGAAGGAGACCATTTCATAATTTGTTGAGCTTTACACTAACTTAGGACATTTAAAGGGGGAAATAATCCTGATTTGTTCTACACCTCTTCTATTTAATATAGGTTGTTATCATCAGATACAAACGGACATGTCAAAAATCTTTCCATGATGGATCATGTTTTATATTTAAAAACAATAAGACTGATTCAGATTTTTTTTTCAATTGTGCCCAAACAAAATTATTAGCAACAGCATGAAATCATTCTGATTGCTACCAAACAGAATATATCCTTACGTATTGCTATTAAATGACAAAAAAAAAGGCAGACGTATAAATGTGTGGTATAAAATAAGATACGATTATTTAATTGATCCAGGCAAATGGAAATAATTAGATTAAATTTTACAAAAAATTTCAAAACAATATTAAATGGATTTACATTATGATAATGATTTTTTTCCCAATTGTTTGAATTCTTGTATACCTAAACACTCATTTGTATTATTGGGGTCTGGCTTATATCCCTTGTCACAAACACAGCTGGCTGTATTGGTTGTTTCATTAAATAAACATGTGTGTTGACAATGTTCACATTCCCGTTTCCCGTTACCTGAAGATAAAACGGAAAAGCTGTAAATAACACATATTGATACTAAGTTCCACAAAAAAAATAATAATTCGGGAATATCCCATATTTGTTAAAAGTTTTTATTGTTTGTTAAAATTTTATGTTAAAACTGAAGTTTGAGATAAGTTAATTATTAATTTAATTCAAACTTGAAAGTGGAACATTTGGCCACACTATTTAACAAAATATGAGATTTTTTTTTTAAAATGTCCTCGCGATTGTGCTGTCTTTTTTGTTTGCGTTTTAAGGTCAAACATATCTTGTTCCTTCATTTATTTATCTTCCTAACAATGATTTCAGACTACTTTATGAGCCTACGCTTATCTTGAACATTCTAAATTACATAAACTTTAACATAGTCTAACAGTAATGATTTAATTATTTGGAATGAAGGAACAGACGTTACTTGTTAATTCACAGGTATAGCCATCAGATTTCAGGTTATAGCCTTCGTAACAGGAACAGTTATAGCTGCCTTCTGTGTTCTTACAAGTGTGTTTACACTGGGATGTTTGTTCTTCACATTCATTGACATCTGAAATCAAAGTGTTTTAAACATCTTGAAATAAATAGAAATGTGAAAATTGATTTCATTAGCATATTTTTGGAGTGTAACACTGTTCAAATTACTTGTTAATATTTTGCAGGATTGGACTAATGTAAGTTCTTCTTTCCCTTGCCCCTATCGTTATTAAACCACTTCTGTTCACTTATTTAAATGCACAACAATAAAATAATACCACTGAAATAATTCTAGAGACATTTCGTTAAAAAAATTTTTTAAATGTTTAAAAACATATTATAATTAAATTTTCTTTAAAGTCTTTCATACCTCTACAAGTTTTCTTGTTTGTGGCATCAAGTCTAAAACCTTGTCTACAGCTACAAATAAAAGATCCTTCTGTATTGGTGCAGTTGTGTTGACATAATCCATTACTCTCAGTACATTCATTAGTGTCTGTAAAATTAGTATCAAAAAGAACAAAAATGCATCCCGCAAAACAATTTTGGCCAATTCATATGATCTCAGAGCCTGTATGCCAACTGTAAGTGTAAATATTTGCAAGGTGCATATCGTTTCTTCGAAGTGGCTGTTCCGACCCGTAAAATCTCACGCAATCAAGAGGTTGGGTTAATTAAAAAATATTAAAAATATTATTGTTGGGCTTGTAAGACAAAATTTAGTATCAAATGAAAGATAATTAAATGGAGTCTATGTTTGAAACATTACTTCTGCAGTTGAACTAAAATAAATTACCACATGTGGATTCCAAATTGCTATTTAGTCTAAAGGGCCTCTTGTCCGAATAGAAGCAGCCTTATTTTTTAAAGGAATTTTTTTTATATGTTTGATACAATTTTGAAGTTCATTTTTTTAATAGTAACATGACTGATGCTTTGGCATAGGCTATTCCGTTGAATATTGTCAATGTTTAAATATTTAAGACCTTCTAAAAATGGTACACTTCATTATGATGTATGTTTCCTTAAATTATGTTAAAAACTTCAATGATAATGCACACTGAAAATGTTAGATAAATTCTTGCATAGTATAGGCTAAAGATATTTAATATGCCTAATCAAGCTTAACTTGTTCTTTTGAAAAAAAAAAAACATATTTCACTTACCAACACACTTCTTGTCATAATCACTATACCCAACAGGACAAGGACCACACACATATCCTGTGACATTATTCCCTTGTTGAGCTGCTGTCAGGTCTGTGCATTCCTGTCCTACAGAACATGGTTTACTGGCACAAGCATCCAACTCTGACTCACAGTCAGAACCTAGAAATTCACATTGTTAAAATAAAAATAGTATTGATTATTATTGCTTTTCTTCTAAAGTGAAAAATCACATTAGTATTACAATACGATGTGTTAAGAATAAAATAATATATGTGAACGAAAGTAGGGCAAAACCTGAAAAAATGATGCAACCAAACAATGAACGTGTCAGTAAGAAGCCTTCTTCAGTGAGAAACAACAGTAAAAACAATCTAAAAATTTAAATAAACAATTAGCTGCAATTTAGTATCCTAGAGGACAACAAAAGGAATGTAATATACTAGTAGTAGATAAGAGATTTAATGTAGGCAATAAGGGACAGAAGAGAGGAAAATTAAGTCAACGGTGATTGGTTGTAAGAAGGAGGGGTAGAGTAAGGATTTAACAAGTGAAGGAGAATATGACATTTATGCCTTATGGTGTTAAGGTTTAAAAAAATTGGTTTGTTTTCTAAGTTCATCCTGGTGGGTGTGTTGGTACAAAACTCAATGGCCTTGAAAGCAAGGCCACTGAAGCCCATGTTGTCGCTTCCATTAAAGTGTTTTGAGATAGGTCACTGTCGATCTTGCTCAGTATTTTGAAGATGCTCTGTAAAACCGTCCAAAAGACAACGTCAGGTCTCCACCAGATACGCCATGTGGAAGCGGGTACAAACAATGGCGTAGAATAAGAAGAGCACTACACCTCTTAGTGAATTATGCCTAACAAGAAAAACCTAAAAACATGAAAACAAAGAAAACTCTTTCTTCCAATGCTTGTAGGATATATTCCTTTTAACATTAATTGAGATCTTTTTGACCTGGTTCCTTAAAATACATACTTTAATATTATATTATATACATTAAAAATATAGACTGGAAATCTCTTATATTAGTGCCATTGAGAAGTTATTATCAAATATTCCATTTGAACGTATGTCAGAGTATTTGTTTTGGATATTATCCCTCACTCATCACAACACTGAATAGTGTAGTTTATACTGTAAGTTTATTTCAATTCACCACAACACTGAATAGTTTACTTCATACTATAAGTTTATTTCACTTCATCCCAACACTGAGTAGTCATTTACACTGTACTAAAAAATCAACTTTGTACACAGGGCAGTCTTAACAACATAGGAGGACCTGGGCACAGCAATGCACTGAGGCCCTGTAGAAACACAACATACCTGGGACGTGAGAAGGGGGCGAAGGGGGGCACTCGCCCCATGCTCAAACAGGGGGGGGGGGGGGCAAAAAACCACCGGTCCCCCCCCACCCCACAAAAGGAAAAAAAAATGAAAAAAAAAAAAAAAAAAAAAAAAAAAATCAAACAAAAGGGGGGGGGGGGGGGGACAAACAGCTACTGTTCCCCACCAACTCACCAAAAGGAATAAAAATGTAAAATAAAAATAATATAAATATAAACATTCAATCAAAGTTAAACTTAGATGAATTCAATTTATTGATATAAAAATCATTCAAAATCAATAATCGTTTTAAAAAATTATCAGAAATAAACTATAAATAATCACAGAGGATGATAAATTATCAATGTTGACGGATTGATAGATAGGAATAAATTACTTAATATAAATTATTATAAATCAACATAATCATTTGGATTTGCGTAATTTTTTTGCAGAGAATTGTTGGTTAATTTGAAGAGATCGTCAGGACGTCATCTGAGTGTTAATTATAATGTTCTTAAGGATGTGATTTTCCCTGCACATAAGTGAAAGCAAGTTCAAACGTTTTTGCCCCATTGTACATTGTACCGTGAAGGTGTTTCTTACCTTATTTTTTTTAATTCATATGGGAAAAGTAAAACTAGTTGACGAGAGCTATTTCCCTTTAAAGGTCTTAAAACTGTTCAACTTTGATTCGCATTTATAATATTAATTTTGGAATCTGCTGATCTATATCGTGGGTTCAAATTTGGAAATTGGGAATTTTATAACGAATTAAATTGTCAAAATCGTTCAACATTTAATTAAATTTATGCAAAACATGATGTCTCTATAAGTGTGAGTTTTCTAGAAAAAAAGTGTTGGACTGCGATGAATCTTTAAAATAGATTTAAATAGACACCAACAATTTTTGTCAAAATAATAATATAAGGTAAGCTTTAATGATAATTTTACAGAATACAAAAGTATACGTTTCAGCAGATGCCTTCATCAATACAACAAAAAGACAAATAAGTATAAATTAAATTTATAATATATATATATAGATTCCAAAATTAATATTATAAATGCGAATCAAAGTTGAACAGTTTTAAGACCTTTAAAGGGAAATAGCTCTCGTCAACTAGTTTTACTTTTCCCATATGAATTTTTAAAAAATAAGGTAAGAATCACCTTCACGGTACAATATATATATATATATTAATTATAATGTCTATTAATGTATGGCTTTGTTAATTGACACATTATATATATATATATATATATATATATATATATATATATATATATATATATATATACATATAATAAAAAAAAAAAAGAGAAAAATAGAGGAGAGCGAAAAAAAAAAAACAAAAAAATATATATATATATATATATATATATATATATATATATATATATATATATATACAGATATTATAACTAAAAAGGGGAGAAAAATAGGAGTGGGCGAAAAAAAAAACAGACAGAAACAAAGTAAAGAAACGTGGGGTCCCCTACAAGCACTGGGCCCTGGCCCACTACTAGGCCCATCACAGAACGTTGGCCACACAAGCAACAATCCACATTGTGAACGTACCTTCAGACACTAATAAAACATACAATGACGTCTCTAGCCTTATGAAAATATTATTGATAGGACTCTGCGTTATTTTCATAGATTATTAACACATCAATTAACATGTATGTACTGTGAAAATGTGTAGTTAAAAAGTATTATCTACATAAATCTAAATAAAGCTGTCGTGAAAGTCTAATTATTGTTGTAATAGAAATGACTGACGCCTACTGTTCTGTGTTCGGTGTAACATCTAAACTTTATTCTACATTATACACTCTTTTTATGCTTCACACTCATGATCACTCATTCCACTTTTCCACGCATTTAAGTTTAAAATATTCATGAATAAAAACAACTCAACACGTCCAGTCATACCACGTAACAAAAAACACAGGCCAATCAGGTCACACATTTCACTCACTACTCACAATGATAATCGTCAGACATACTATCACAATTGTTGTTACCTGTGTAAGCGGGAAAACAGCTACACTGAAGGACCTGGAAATACCCCTCACTGTTATCAGTATTTCGTGTGTTGAGAGTGCATGCTCCATGTCCATTACATCCAGTGCAAACAGCAATAGTCACATATACTATAGGGCTGTAAGCACCCTTGGAGTCTTTAGCTCGTATGCTAAAGGTATAAAGTTTTGAATTGAAAAATAATGTGTGTGCATTTATTTTTTTGTTATTAATTATAATTTCTATTAATGTATGACTTTGTTAATTGACACATAATTAAACATGTTTTAAATTGCTGCACAATAGAAGACTATACCAAACAGTTATCAAACCGATGTTGAAAATATACGAAATTGCGTCTCCGGGGTGGGGGGAAGGGTGCGTAACACACTGGTACCACTAACAGGGAGGGTTGGGGTTGACACCAAATTGAAAACAAAATGCAAATTTCTCGAGCCCATTTAATAACTGAATCTAACAAGAAACAAAAACGGGTAGCCACCATAGAAGGGTTCCAGCAGAGTAGGGTGAGACTAGAGTAGGGTTCCATCAGAGTAGTGTGCCACCAGAGTAGAGTGCCACCAGAGTAGGTTGCCTCCAGAGTAGGGTACCACTAGAGTAGTGTGCCACCAGATTAGGGTGCTATCAAAGTAGGGTGCCACCATAGAAGGGTGCCACCATAGAAGGGTGCCACCATAGAGGGGTGCCACCAGAGTAGGATGAGACCAGAGTTGGGTGCAAACATAGTAGGCTGCAACCAGAGTAGGCTGCCACCAGAGTAGGATGCCACCAGAGTTGTGTGCCACCAGATTAGGGTGCTATCAAAGTAGGGTGCCACCATAGAAGGGTGCCACCAGAATAATGTGAGACAAGAGTTTTGTGCCACCAGGGTGCATTTGGAGAAGGGTGCACTTTGAATTCACCGTGGACGCTCTGGATTATTATTTTTATTTCTTAGTTAGAATATTTGTTTTTCCTATTAATTTTTTTGTATATATTGAAAATAAATATGCAATCATAAAATTATAGTAACCTTTATACATATAAACATGATATATTATAAGTGATTTTGTTTGGTCTGTTAAAGTCAGCGGTGAGGGGGGTGGGGTGGGTACAGTATCTCACCGACTCAAGAACCCCAGGGTCTATATAAAATAATAGGTATATTCCTTTCGCATAGCTACAATTTAATCCCTGCTATTTATTATAAATTGCAATAATTTATTTCTCTTGATTTGTCCAATCAATTAAAAAAGGGTTAGCTTTATTAGAAGGAACAATTTACTAATATAATATCACACTTTTTATATATTTTTTTTGCCCTATAAAATTAAGATACAAAAACAAATTGGCGTTACAGTTAAATACAGCCAAAAAAAACTAGCAGAATTGAAGTTCCGGCAAGCGACTTTGGGTTTGTTAACTGTTTATATATTGAGCTTCTGTGGGCCCATAGAAATTCAAGTGAAAAAGATTGTATGTTACGCAGTTGTTGTTGTTTTTTTTGCCGAAAGGGTCTCTCCCTGAATGAAAACGTTCACACAGTTGAGCGATATTTTAGATCATACATTAGGGAACGTAAAGGGTGACCGTGTTTTAAAAGCAGAAGAAAATTTCCGAGAGGAATCTTTAAAAAAAAGGACGCAAGTAACATTATTCTGGAAAGGCATTACGTCGACGGATGGGAAAACTCTGATCAAACTGTTAACTAATGTATCGTTCATCGGAGAACCACTCATTCTTATAAAATATGATAATAATAAAACCTTGCCCACTATATCCAGAAATATTAACAGTTCTTCATTCTGGCTCACATATAAGGCTCCGCCAAGCGTAGTCCAACATTTATCAGTTACGAAAGTGAACCTGTGTTCTTACACAGACGGAGAACGAACTTTAAAGGATGTTCCTCGTAGACTTCAGAAGGTATAAAAGCGTAAACTTTCGGAGAACGTGGGCGTGATTCTCATTATTGAAAAGTGTAACGGCCCAATCCATTAATCAAACAATACAATTTCATAGCGGCTAAATTTCTCAGCAATTAACAGAACAACTGTTTTATTTGACATAGTAATTGTATTATTAGAGTGCATAACTGTGTTACTTAACATCATAGCTTTGTTACTTGAAATCCTAATGGTGTGTTTTCTTACTTGACATCATAACCGTGTGACTTAACATAACTGTGTTACTAGGCGGCATAACTTTGTTAAATGACAAAATAACTGAGTTATGCGACAGCATAATTATATTACTTGGGGCCGTCTTATGAAATCCGTTTTGGATTGTTCTGCACCCTTTCTTAAAAGAGGATTCCCCCCCCCCCTCACAATCAGTTAATCACTTTCGTAAGAGCTAAACTGATTAACTATGAATAACTTCCGTCGTGAGGTCCATTAGCAGCCAAAAATGCCGCCAACATAATCTCTTTCACTCCATGGAAAACGTAGTGGGTGGAGCTAAGTAATGTTGACGGACGCATGTGCACTTCCAACATGCTTTGAGTGTCAGTACTGTTACTTTTAGTGCATACTTAACACTTTTTTTAAAAGAAAATATTTTAAAATTTCAGTATATTTGTCAAGTAAAGAAATGTTGTTGTGTGCGTGTGTGTGTTTTTATTCCATCTTTATGACTTCATTTCAGTTGGATACACTATGAAAGGTAGGACGAAATGATACTTTGCTTACCCAAGATTAATTGGATTTTTGGCATCAGGTGTATAAATAATACTCCGATTTCTTACAATTGCACCTGTGTGATTTCCAACAAGCTCAATGGATACTACGTCACCATCAGCATCTTCTGGGAAAACTTCAAGAGTCGAATCTTTTGATTCCGTTACATTCCACTGACCAAGTGAATTCAAACTATCATTCTTTAATGACAGTTCTGGTGGGTTGTTAGCTAAATCAGATAAATGGTTGTTTAGTCTTATTTTTATACTGGAACTATGCACACACTTATTTATTTATTATTATTATTAAATAAAAATATCTCATATTTAAAAGACAAATTATACATTTATTGTTATGTTATAATGAAAATGTATTCATACATCTAATGGAACTCATTCATTGTCATTTAAAAAGTTTATTGGTTTATGTGAGTGGCAGTAAGGGTAGGAGAGTAATGGTTTATTTAAGTACGGTTATATCATTGGGTTAAGAAGTATAGGACAATCCTATATTAAATATAACAGCTGCAAAAGGACCCAATCATAATCGTGGCAATAAAAATGCAGGTTTCGCCAGAACAATAACAGAATTATAAAGGAAAATTGGTTAACAGACTTTCATCAGTAGACCAATAGTGAGAATGGGGACGAAAGGCTGTTGTGATTGAAAGGATGCGTTCAAAAAGGCCATAGATCTTCATGGGCTCCAGTGCCATTGATGACGAAGAAGGAGTAAAGTTGTAGTGATGTTGAAAAGTGGTGTGTCAGTTAATTGCGGATAGTCTGGAAGGTTCAATAAATAGCTTGATGAGTAGAATTGATTGGTTGGTTGGAGAACAAGGTAGGAGTTTTTTAGGTTTCAGTGGAAATACCAAGCACTGATGAAAACAAAATAAGGGTTAGTAAGAAATTTGGTCTAGTGGGTTGAGGTTTAAAGGAAGGCTAAATAGTTCTAATAGAGATAGTATTCTTGTAACGATTTATCTGGTACAGAAGAGGAAAAATACATTGAAAATCTTCTTTATGTCATTCTTAAGTCGCAAAAAGCAACAGAAACTTATTCTGCAATATATCTTTAATTTCTTTAAATGAATATTAAAAGTTAGGATATATAAATGTCTAATTTGTTATTGCTGCCTTTTACATAAGCTTCACCTAATTTATGGAGCTTAATTTTATTTATTAAAATTGATTTTATTTTTAAAAATATTTTTTTAAAGGTATTTCATTGTGAAAATTGTTTATCTATGTTTAATAAATCTCGTGCGGAGATACTGATCTTCCATCGAGCGCCTCCCCAGGTGGCGGATAGGGGAAAGCCCACCAGATATGGAGGGTACCAGGGAAATAAAATACCTGGGGCGGACCAAATCAAAACCGACTGCCTTGTAGGAAATGGAGGAATCCATAAAGGCTAGGGAACCTTACCCAAAAACTAAGGCAGCTATCCAAGAGAGCTGTAAGGGGCAACCCCCCAGACGGTTGTGCGCAGGTTTAACAACCCGGCCACGTAAAAAAAAACAACGTTACGAAAGCCGTCAAATATAAAATATCTATTGCAGCATTACCTAGGCTTAGGTGGATAAATGATGGAGAAAAAGATATACATCAGCTAAAAGTCCAAGCATGGAAAAGAAAGGCATTAGTTAGGTCTGAGTGGAAGGGAGTAGTGAGGCAGGCCAAAGCCCTACATGGGCTGTAGCGCCACAGGGATGGATGGATGGATGTTTAATAAATAGCTAATAAAAATTTAAAAAGCAGCCTAATCCAATGAAAGAATAATTAATAATATCTATAATGTTTTTCACATTAAAGCTATTTAATGGGTATTAATATTTGTAAGGTTATTTATAATCCTACCTAAATTCGAGACAAAAGACTGTTGCTTGAGAAATGATTGCATGGTGCTGCTGGCAAACTCCTGACTGCCTGTAACCACATAATCAATGATGCATTCGGTGTTGTTTTTACCGCAGGTCTGCTCTGCCACTCTGGCGGTCTCGGGAGAAACTTCGTCCCCAAACAGTGGAACAAAGTCCGGATGACTGAAAGTGCTTGAGTTTTCTCCCTTACCATATGCAAAGATCGTATTGTGTGCAGAGACCTCCCCTAAAAATGATATTTTTATTGTTAATTTTACAGATAATTATTTAAACAAATTTATTTTTGCAACGCAAATAGGCTATCAATGCTGAAGATGAATCACTATTTTTAAATATTGTAAATATATATAATATTATAAGCGCTTCTTTCGTCATTTGAAAACTTACAATGTCTTCCAAAAGAATATAATAACTCTCTCTCGGACATTTTGCTTGCAAGTACAGTTCCGTTCGGTAGGGTAAATTCATCAGTCTGGTTATGGTTGAAATTTCCAAGTAGACCCAAAGTCTTGTTTTCCAGGCTTTTATCTATTTCCAGCTCAATATCTAAACTCTTGACAGCTACAGACACTTTGATGCTGATACCTGTCCATATAAACATTTATTTTAAATAATTTAACAGTTTTTGCGTTAAATGTGTAACTTCAAATCATGATGTTTAAACATCTCTAGCGTAAATGAACTCAGGCGATACAGTAAATGCATTATTAAATATGATATAACTCCGAACAAATAATCTCCTTTCTTATAAGGTTTTACCACAAGGGAATGTCGCGATGACTAAGGTTTTGTTAGAGCTGTCTTCCCTCAAGACGCTGATTTTATCTAGAAGCATTTGAAATTCTCGATCATTGTTGAAGTCATGTGTGACATCCATTCCGTTTACATAGACTATCATGGCTGAAACGAGTTAAATTTTAATTTTAATAAGGAAACATTGAGTTACAAGGGTGAAAATGGAAATTAAAATTTAGAGTAACATTGAACGGAATAACATTTTTTAATATATATTAAAAATATTTAACTTCAATTCAACTCAATATTGACAATATGCAATTTTCCCATTGCATATTTTGTTTAGAAACACTACTTTACGAGTAATTTAAAATTATTTGAAAACCCTAGGAATGAATTCAGAACTATAGTCAGTTATGTCGGGAATAAAGAGACAATAAATCTCGGTTGGTGCAATGTAGTGGAGTTTTGTGCCCTTAACTAAAAGTCAACTTTAATTAGTGTGGGTTTTTTGGTGTTTTCTAGGGGTGGGGGCAGAATTATAAATATATCGCACATATTTTCGTAAAGCCTTCAGTTTAAAAAAAAAATAATTTACCAAAAAAGCAGGCTCTGCATAGATAATTTAAGAAAGGATAAATCCGATGAGGGTTTGGTTGGGTTAGTTAGGTAAGTTTAAAGAATATTTTGCACGGATTTCAGACATTTAGCATGCATTATGGGTAATGATAAGTGGGGGGGGGGGATTGGGCGGGGGTTAGCTTACTTCTGTTGTTGTTTGCTAGTTGAACCTGGAATTTAGCATAGCCTCCTTCACTGGCAAGGATAAATCCGATGAGGGTTTGGTTGGGTTAGTTAGGTAAGTTTAAAGAATATTTTGCACGGATTTCAGACATTTAGCATGCATTATGGGTAATGATAAGTGGGGGGGGGGGGATTGGGCGGGGGTTAGCTTACTTCTGTTGTTGTTTGCTAGTTGAACCTGGAATTTAGCATAGCCTCCTTCACTGGCAGCAAATGCCGTGAAAACAGTGGCGTTGTCCGCAGACCCATTCAGAGACTCGACTCTACCGGTTCTTGCCTGTAACAGAAATCTAGTTCGTATTTATTATACCATCATTTAAAAAAAAAAATCTCTTTCGTCACTCTAAAAAGGGTCCATAAAAAGGCAACTTAAAATTAACCTGGCTGATGTGACAGAGCTATCAATCGAGCAAAATAATGTGGTATTTTTTAATAAAATGTTAATGTGGTGTCTTTTGTAAAGGTAATATAATGGATATTTAATGATTAAACATACAGTTTTATTTTTTAAAAATGTGGAATTATTTTTTTGTTGAATTTATATGATCATTGTCTAGTTTGTACATAAGTATCTATAATAAACTATTTAAAAAATATCTATATATATGCTACACCAAATAAATTTAATAATATTTAATTTACAATATTACAAAAAATATATTTTAAAACACTTTTTTGCTTAGAAGTAATTGCATATAAACTACTCTACAAAATTGAAAGTAACAATTTTACTGTAGGACTTCAAGAGAGCTTATTTGTCTTACAACAGCAAAGGGACGGGTGGTAAATATGTGACAATGTATTGTGAAAGAAATGAACTTTCGTATCTTTCATATTTTTTACTTAGAGTGAAAGAATTTGACCTGAACTTACTTGTCTTAAGACTGTGATGTTATCTTAGATGTAAACTATATTTGTTTTACTTTGCTAAAGATATTTTTGAAATAATTTCAAGATAATGTTGTTTATATGTGTATGTTATTGTGTGTTTGCTTTTTGATATGTTTATTAAAAATAAATATTATGTACTCTTGCCATTTATTTATTATTATTTTTAAAAGCTGACGAAAAATTACTTGAAGAGTAAAATTCTTTGACTTTACATCCATCAGGATGTATTCTCCCCATCCATTCATCGTGTAAGTTACTCCATCTAGTGTAGTTATGTGAGGGTCACCAAGAGCTGATGCTTTAATTAAACATTATACTCATGTTAAAATCAAGCTCTTTTGACGCAATATATTTTCTATTTTTTACAAACTGATAAGAAATTGAATATTCCCTTAAACATTAATTTAATTAATGTTTCGTTACCTCACATAAATTCATTGTCACAATTCCCTAAATCATAAAATATATTTTGTTGCATAGCACAAATAACCAGAAAAGTTTAATTTTAACATATTTATCTACTTCCTACCAGTAACAAATTCCACAAAGTCTGTGCACCCCATGTCGGGAAATATCTGATAGAATCTGTTGCACAATTCTCTTGTGGCGTCCGCACAGCATATTTTGTGAGCTTCAACATTCTCCAGCACCTCGTCGATATTGAAATAGAACTCTGGCCATGGTTCATTGATGAGAACATGCCCGGAATCAGCCAAAGCTGATAGAACGTATGATGCTTCTCTTCTCGTTTGTTCCACATCTCTCCAGTCCTCGGGATGCTTTGGCTTACCCATTTTGTAACAACACAACTGCGATGATCAAAACAGTCTCTATAAATACCATTTGGTTTATTGTTAAGCTTATGTGGTTATAACTATTAAATATTCAAAAGTAAATGAAATTTTTCGAAAAACAGTGATGAAAATCTAGCAACAAAATAAAAAAGACTACAGGAAAACAAACAAAAAATATCTGATTGATAAAATTTTTACGCCATCCCCCACACAAAAAACACCAAAAAACCCAACCTTTTAGCAAAATTATAATTCATTCAAAGGAGAAGAAAGTTTATACATTTTTTGAAGTCAATAACACAGATGAATTAGTTCGCTGTCTATGAAATTTTTCAACAAAAAAAAAAAATAAAATAAAAAATGAACCATGTAATATTTATTGAAAACATGGATTCTACTTTCTTTATATTTACCTTATTTCTTTTGTTGTTTGGCTTAAGTCTGATCTTCGCCAGATGACTAATGGCATAACATTGAATATCATGATTTTCTCCTCGGGTTTGAAAAAGTTGCCACTGATGTCCTAGTCGTTCCATCGTGCAGGGACACTTGAAAAGGTCAGTCTTGTCATACTCGTACACAGGGTCAGACAACAGCGCCAGGTTATTACAAATGTACCTATGGCAAGCTTGTATGGGACCCGATGATTGACCAGTTAGGTAGGTATAAACACCCTGTTCGCCTGGGAAAAGTGGTACATTCAAATTTACAGGTGAGAAAAACCAGTACAATATAAAAATTATTTCACAAAAAATTATACATAAAATGTTGAAGATGCTCTTTTCAATCCACATTTTATAAATATTTTAAAGAAAATAAATCAATATAAAGAAAACAATATAACAAATAATAGCGTCTATAAAATAACTGATTTTATTAGTTCCTGTCCCCAGGGCCTTGCGATGGGGTAAAAGAAGACAGTTATAAAAATATTTAAAAGAAGACAGCCGCCCCGGGATCATAATCCCGGAGGCGCCAAAATAGTTTATTATTCATATATTTATACACGTAGATATCCACCAGCGTAGGAAGGGTGTAATGGGGAGTGTTCCGCAAGGGAAATTTTAAAAATATACATGTATATAATATGTGAGGGAGGTTGAATTCGGTCACACCATAAACACATAAACATGAAATTCGTGTGTAAAAATACAAGAAGTATACATTTATGTCTCAATGAAATAATTACTTACTATCGTTTGACTGAGATTTCCTAAATATCATTGGCTAAATTCTAAGTAATCTCTTTTTTTTTTAAATTTATTCTGATCCAGCTCAAAGAAAGATGGGGGGGAGGGGGGGGGGTGTCAGTAGCGAGGCTAAAAATGACAATTCGACAAACACTAGCCCAGTAAGGGGAATTATTTCCAGGTTTTTGTCTCTTGAGCTTGTCAAAATATTGTTTTTTTTGGTGCTGGTTTTATTTAGTATTTTAAAATTTCATTTGCTAATGTCCTTAAAATTGAGGAATATACAGTTTAAATATAAAATACAAAACAACTTTAGTAGGGTAAATCTAAACGAAAACAATTTGTGTAAAAACAAGCAGGTCAAGGAAAACCTACACTTCTACTAGCATCTCTTCTGTTGCTTTTTTTTAGGATAGAATAAGTCTAGCTAAGATAAGGTATGCGCTAAAATGTTTTCTTGCATTTAAAAAAAAAATTAAAAATTAAACAATTTCTATGGTGGAGCTAAATAAATCAAATAAAACTAAGTTTGTTTAAGGGAAGGTTAAGTGTTGATGAAGGACATAACTCTGAATGAATTCAATAGTAATGGAAGACGCAAATCATGGGAATGCAAGTGTCATGTGGTCTATTTAAAAACTATGTATAAAGAACCACTGAAAAGCATTACCTGTATTTCCATTTATTTTATCCAGCATGCTTACAAGCAAAGTGTCTGTGTCAGGAAGGGCAAAGCCAGTAAATCCTACATTGATAGGTTGCCCAGGTTTATAAGTCCAATTCATCTGTCCTTGTTGATACAAGAAAATCACGTAAGATGTCTCCTCACCTGTGAACAGCATTAACCGTTGTATTGCAAATCCATAATATGTTATTTTATACATTTAATAAATTGATAGATGTATGTTAAGAGAATTTTTTTTTTAAGAAATGAATCTATCTTTAAATTAACATTAGATGTGGAAGCTCTGTGGTTACTTCTATATTGGTTTTTTTTTAGAAAAAAACCCACATATGAACTAAATGTGATTGTATAAAAAGTACTTGTCTGGTTTCATTTGCTATTTGACTTAAATGCCAAATTTGTTTCTCCAAAATAATGTAGTTCTTGATAAAAGACGAGAGGAGACATGCCGCCTTCGGCGAAATGTTCTCCCTCGAGATCAAATAGGAAAAATACATATCAAGACCAGCAATCATGTCGGATATTGCATTGCGGAGTACTAAATAATTTACTCTCAATAGGTTTTGAGTTGGGAACATAAGACGCTTTGAGAGCAGTCTGGGGACATCGACTAACATATCACTTTTGAAAAAGCAGACAAATGTATGACTGGGCATTCAGTAATAACTCCTCATCGTGGTGCGTCCATCTTCTGACTAATGATGTGTAGGTTATCTCTTGGTGATTTTCCTACGGAGCTCATGCACCCCGCGCTGTCTCATTGATCTTTTCCCTTCCCACAATTACACCACAAAATTATCATTGGATTTCAGATATTGTCATCCACGTAAAAATGTACACACTCTAATTCATATCACCAATATATATATATATATATATATATATATGTATATATATATAATATATATTCATAAGAAAGTTAAATTGCTGCTGATCCTTTTCACAAAAAAATTTTTTTTTTCGTTTAATTTTGTCTTTAAACTTTTTTTTTTTAAAATCAAAAAAATTACACATAACTCTTTATATTGAAAAATTTTCATTTATTTTAACATTCAAAATAATGACAACATTCGAATCTGTTATATAATTGGGTCTTCATATATAGGCCTAGATATTGAAATGAACCAATTGCAACTCCAATTAGTTGTTCTTAATAAGGTGAGTAATAAGTGAATTAGTAAGTTCTATTTTGCTATGAAGTTCTGCGGCAATTATTGAATTAAAAGGCATGATTTTATTATAATTACAGGTTTATTTAAACGTTAAATTTTTATTATCTTATATAAGTTTGGTAAATGTATATTTTAAAATAAAAATTTTAAACACTTTAAAAAGAAATCAATTATACGTATTAATTTAAGTTTTAAAACGAGGAAAAAACATTATTAGTTTTGTCACACTCAGTTGATAAATCAAAGAAACTTAAATATTTTTATTTGAAAGTTGAAATTATGCTCTTTTGAAATTAACATCATTTTTCTTTAATATAGTTTAATCATAAAGCTAATTTGATATTGTTTGAAGACATTTAATTTACATGAAATTAATTTAAATTTAATTTTTAATATTTTTAAATACATTTTTTAAAATTTAATATTTATTTACAAGATTGAAGTTCTTTTTTTCCTAGTAATGTTAAAAGCTAGTACGAAGCAAAATTATCTTATGAAAATGAATTAATATGTTGTTTATATTTATTTCAAGCATTATGCATTGTCAGAAACATAGCCAGACCAATCCACTCACGTGTCCATGTAGTATTGATTTGACACGCTTATAAAAATAGTAAATTAATTTTACTTCAATAACGCGTCATATGTATATGAAAATGCTAATTTTGATATATGCCATTGTTTAACAGCATCTTAATTTAAGTTTCCTGTCTCAATATTTTTACTCTTTCATGTATGGGCATATTACATAAAATGTTAATATATCTAGTCTATAAAAATATGTAGATGCAATATAACCTTTTAAGAGTCCATGTCCATTTTGGTATTCACTATTCCAGCCACTTATAAAAATTGCTTGAAATGTGTTCTTCTCCTGTATTTGTAATAATTTTAAAAAATTAAAATTATTTTTCTATAATAATCTGTTTTGAAAAATGACGATACTTGATTTTCCATTCCAGACCATTTGTATATTGATGTAAAAAAATTGTTTAATATTTAAAAGACAAAAACTCAAATATTTAAAGGTTTTTAACCAAAAACAAACACCAGAACAAAGTACACATCTTACAATTTGTATAAATTGGCTGTAAACAAAAATCTGTTAAAAATATGATGTCATATGTTAAAAATTTATTATTCTCGTTTCGAAATGTTCAAGGACAATTTTTTTATTTTTTTTTTGGTTAATTTAAAGTACGAGTTCATTGATGATACACAGATAATTAATTTAGATGCTTACTTGTTGAAAGTGCTTAAAAGGCTCTACACCAACCCATGTGACGACCAAAACAGTATCAACCTCAAAGCTAGATAAATTATAATATTTTTTCAAGTCTTGAGCAGCACGTGAAAGAACTGTCGCTCGGAATGGTGCCGTCATACTGATTTGTGTCTCATCAAAATTATTCCGACTGCATTTTTCATACAAATGATAGTTAACGTGACCTTTAAAAAAATATATTGATATTTAGTACATGGAGTATGAAAGAGAGAAGAACTCTGAAAACATTTCATACATTTCATGAACAAGAAAACACTCAGTAACCCACATGCAAATATAGTTAGTTGATTGATATTATGTAATGGTAATGAATGATACATTAAAAAAAAGTAATTTTATATTAAGTACTAGCAAGAACCCGGCATGCATCGCAATTCCACTCAAAGAAAAAGAGGGTATGTGTTTTAATTACGTTTTTAAAGTAAATTTTAAAAAGAAATTTTTTTTTTTCCATGCGTACACAAATAAATTAGAAGGTTTTTCGACGCGCGAACAGACCACGAAAGAAGAAGCACATAAGAAGCATGGATTTTCAAAATTTAGTCCACACACTTGTGCGATTGATCCACCCATGCAGCAGCTCTGTTTGAAATTATATCTATATAGATCAAATAAACATTTTTGTTTTACAATTAAGCCCCCGGCCCCAAACGCCAAATTGTAAAATGGTTGTACTAATTCAAACACTTAATTATTATGTCACACAAACTGATGTATTGCTTGTATTTTATTAAATTCCATCCACCCATGCAATAGCTCTGTTTGAAATTATAGGTGTATAGCTGCTATAACAAAAAAAAAATTGCGGGCTTGCGCATAACAACTTATCAAAATTGTATCGCAATCGGATGAATAGTATAGGAAAGCAGACTGAAATTATATTTAGCTCATAACAGTATGACAGAAAGAAAAAAAAGTTTAGTGCTTTGTACCCAAAATGGAAAATTGTAAAATGTGTGTAACAACTCAGAAAAATTAATGAGTGTATGCACAATAACTCATAAAAGTTTTATCGCAATCGGATGAATGTTATGGGAGCGCATACGGGACACATAAAACATACATTAATTTTATATATGTATAAACATAGTTTACCAAAAAAAGAAACCTTTTGCGCAACTATTCAAGGAAGCGTTCTGTCTACCATCCATCTATCCATCAATCCCTCCCTCCCTTCCTCCATCCACACCTTCATCCATATATCATCCATCCATCCATCTATCTATCTATCTGTCTATCTATCTATCTGTCTATCTATCTATCTATCTATCTATCTATCTATCTATCTATCTATCTATCTATCTATCTATCTATCTATCTATCTATCTATCTATCTATCTATCTATCTATCTATCTA